GACCTACTGTATAGCACATGGAACTCTGCTCAACGTTATGTGGCAGCCTAGAGGGGAGGGGAGTTTGGGGGAGAATGGATACATGTATATATATGGCTGAGTCCCTTTGCTGTTCACCTAAAACTAACACAACATTGTTTGTTAATCGGCTATAGCCCAATACAAAATAAAACATTTTTAAAAAAAGATGGTGGACTGGACCTACACATAATAACCTGGATAGAAACGAGAAACACAGCATGGAGGGAAAACATTAAGAGACACAGTAAGGTGTGTGGGACGAAACCATTTATATAAATTTTAATTATGGGGGTCCAAGGTAATAAGAGACACTTAAAACACATATAAACCAAAAGAATGTTCATTCAATACATGAGAATGATTTCCAGAGACTGAAAGAAAGGATGGAAAAGGGAATAAAAAACCCAAAGAGATGGTCACATTCTGCCCCAAAATGGTAAGTGGCATGAACTGAGGGGTATCATTATTAACTAAGTGCACCAACACTTCAAAGTAAAAATAAAGAGAATAACAAATAACTATCATCCATGATAATGTTGAACAAGAACAGCCTCAAGAGGATGTGGGGGAGTGGCCTGATAATAGCAAGCTGATCATCACAGACCAAAATCAATGCAAACAAGCTGTATCTCTAAAAACAGATAATTGAGATTTAAAGATACAAAAAAGGGGGCTATTAATATGAAACATGTTAACAGTTATGCAAGTAAGATTTTAAGATGGTTTATAGCAGCAGAATGAGATACACATATAATCTCAAAAAGGACTGCAAAAGAATACATTAAAAGTATGGACAAAACCCAAGTGAATGATGACAAATTGCTGCTCTGATAACCAGTTTTCAAATCTGTTCAGATTCTTTCATTTAGAGGCTAATTGTGAAGGGAAAAGATGATAAGATTTATAAGCATAAATAAACAAGGGCTATGAATAAAGGGAATTCTTTTCATGGAAATTGTTATGACTATAGGTAAAATTATATATGGAATATAAAGACTTTACAAGGTGATAAAAGGAAAAGAATGACAGGTCTACGAATTTTTTTAATTTAAATATGATTTCAGGTTTTATCTAATTTCTAATTAACAATCAGCAGCAGTTTGAAACACTCCAGCTTTTAATTTCTAAGTTTTTAACTGCTGCTGCTGCTAAGTCGCTTCAGTCGTGTCCGACTCTGTGCGACCCCATAGACGGCAGCCCACCAGGCTCCCCTGTCCCTGGGATTCTCCAGGCAAGAACACTGGAGTGGGTTGCCATTTCCTTCTCCAATGCATGAAAGTGAAAAGTGAAAGTGAAGTCACTCAGTCGTGTCTGACTCTTAGTGACCCCATGGACTGCAGCCTACCAGGCTCCTCCGTCCATGGGATTTTCCAGGCAAGAGGACTGGAGTGGGGTGCCATTGCCTTCTCCGAAGTTTTAACTACCTGTAAATATGTCAGAAGATCCATGCTGAAATTATCTCTTATTTTATGTTTATTTTTGGTTGTGCTGGGTCTGCATTGCCACGCGGACTTCTCTCTAGTCGTGACAAGCAGGGCTTCCTCTCTAGGGATGGTGTGCAGGCTTCGTTGTGGTGCAGAGCCCGTTGTGCAATACGGGCTCTAGGGTGCATGGGCTTCAGCAGGTGCAGCACAAGGGTTCAGCAGTCGTGGTTCCTGGGCTCCAGAGCATGGGCTCAATAGTTGTGGTGCACAGGCTTTGGGATCTTCCCAGATCAGGGATTGAATCCAGGTTTCCTGCATTGGCAGGTGGATATTTTTACCACCGAGCCACCAAAATTCTCTTTTAATATCAGAATATGTTTGGGAAAATGAATGATCTTAATCTCTATATTTTACAAAAAGTTTATGTAATACTGTTCAGTATTTTGTTTAATAACGTAAACTTTAGAAAAAAAATTTTTTTTCAACACTCTCTACTCACTGGCTATTTAATTAGTTAATTAGTTATTAATACATGTCCCAATAAATACTCCTCTGTTTATTACCATCCTAAATCTCAAAGGATTTTAGTAATGAATCCAATTATTATCAAAGAAGGCCAGAAGACATGAAGAATTACACACAAACATCAGTACATAGGTACTAGGACTTCCCCGTAGCTCAGATGGTAAAGAATCTGCCTGCAATACAGGAGACCCAAGTTCAATCCCTGGGTCAGAAAGATCCTCAGGAGAAGGGAATGGCTCCCCACGCCAGTATTCCTGCCTGGAAAATCCCAGGGACAGAGGACCCTGGCAGGCTACAGTCAGTGGGGTCACAAAGAGTCAGACTTACATAAAATAACTTAAAAAATGAAGAAGCTGTTGATTATAAGACACAGAAAGAAGCACAGTAACTTCAAAAATGTAATGAAATCCATAAATTGGTGTCAGAGTTACTCTCAGATTATATGGCAGCTACTAAGCCTTCCTGAGTGTGAGAAGCAGTAATTAATAACAGACTGTCATGTCACACCTCAGGAGAGTGAAAATACTTCTGCCCTTAGGATGAAGTGAAATTTTCAAAGATAAAAATATTTCCACCTTGGTACTAGTTTGCAGTTCCTGGAGGAAATAAAGTGTTAAAGACTGCTAGACATACTTTTAATTCTTTCACAAGACTTGGGATGGTGATTCTAGTGCAAGTTTTTAAAAAATCTATGGAGACTTTATTTAAAAGCAGAGTGTTTGATCTTGGATCCACAGATTTAGATTATTTGGGTTGAGTTGGGGCCCAGCAGAAATATGTCTATTGAAGAATACAGAATGAAGAATCCCACTGATCTGGAACCCATGGACACCAACCAATCCTCCAGCCTTTATCTCATGTATCAAATGTAGATACCATAGAAATGCAATGTATGATAATTACCAGACTGAACTATACAACATTTGTGTGGTGTGCAAATGTTTAAATCTACATGCTTTACTGAATGCTATTTGTAACATGCTCATTCTGAATGCCTGGTGATTTTTTTTTCTGCCTGTACCATGAATTAGAAGATTCTAGTTGAGAATTCCCAGGGACGGGGGAGCCTGGTGGGCTGCCGTCTATGGGGTCACACAGAGTCGGACACGACTGAAGTGACTTGGCAGCAGCAGCAGCAGCAGTTGATACAAACATAGCAACCAAATATAAACAATGTTGACATCAAATGGTATCAGAATTTTCTTTCAATTCTTAGCTTACTACTTGGAAAGCAGATATTTAAAAATTCTTGATTCTGAGATCCAAAGTATGATCAAATATATAAGCTGATAGAGTGCCACGGGAGGGGACTACTTGGCAGGATTTTTGTCACTGAAGTTCTTAAATTTGGTTGAGCAAGAGAATATTCAACTGGAATATCTTGGGATTGGTATAAATATGTGTATTTTAAACACTATCTGGGTAATTCATACGAAAAGATTTGAAGACCATCAATAAAGTAAATTATTGGGAGTATCAGTCAGACTATAAAATCAGACTTAAAAGCTTGTTTAACTCTACATTACATTACAGAATTTCAGGAGCTTAAAGACTTGACTAAATCACAGAACTAGAAAACTAAAGACCAATAACTTTCATAAGCACTGACACAAAAGTCCTTAACAAAATATTTGCAAAATGCATACAGCAAAACATAATGTTAATTATTCACCATAATCAAGCAGGATTTAGCCCAAGAATACAAGTTTGTTTTAACATATAAAGATGAGTTAATATAATACATTATAATAGAATGAAGGACAAAAATCACATTATCATGTCAAGACATTTAGAAAAAGCATTCAACAAAACCCAGCCTTCATTTATGACAAAAACTCTCAACAAACTAAGACTGGAAGAATCAGGTCTTAGAATGGGAAAGCACCCCAGATCACTAGAAGGTAGTGCTTTGAAAATTTAAAAACTGCTTCTTCCTAAAGTTAAATAATAATATTTTAAAACTCAATAATATTCAAATATCAGAAACTTAAGGAGAAGATAACTCTTTAAATTGTTCCAATTCTTTAACAGTTATTAGGAAGACTGCAATTTATGAAATTCATTATCCAGATGCTTAAGTCTTTCAAAAGGCATTAAAAGGATGCCAAAGAACCACTTAGGTACTTATCCTCTGGCCTTATATATTTCTCTATTGCTTAAATTCATATGACGCAGTGGAAAACCTGGTAACTATACAATTGCCCCAGAGAGAGCAAATTATACTATAGCAAATACTCTGTCCCATTTTCCATATGCCACACCTTCCTCATGCACCATCTACAATCAATCTCCCCCCTCACATCACCCATTCTCCATAGGGCTAACCCTGCTCAGTAGAGGAAGGAGACAGGGACAAAGTTTTTATATTTTATATCACATACTCACCCACACAGATGGCTGTGGTCACTTAAAGTATGTCCTTCTTTTGAAAGGTCACCAACCAATAGACTGAACTACTGGGAGATCTTATAGCCATGTTGTTTAAACCTGTCTCTCTAGCTCTCAAGTATTTCCCTAATACCCACTGTGAACTTTATTTTCAACATTTTCTATGGGAGAAGAAGGTCCTTCACTCCCATTCCTTACCAGGTAATCACAAGACTTCAAGAAAATGAAGATTAAAAAACAGGAGCTCTCTCTCCTCCAAATTTCAAAACCATTACCATTCTTACCTTGGAGGAGAACTACCCAGATAGGAGGCATTACACCGGTAAACTGAGGAGATGCAGTTAGTCTTAGGGAAAGGCAAACAGCCTCGGTCCTTGCTTTACTCATTTATGTTGGTGGCTGTGACTGTGTTTGTACCACATAGTGATGCTGAGTAGTGTCAGAAACCATATGGCTCACAAAGCTTAAAATACTGACTATCTGGCCCTTTAAAGAAAATGTTTACAGCCTTAATGATCAAGGGAAAGGAGCATTAGTGATGCTACTGGGGGGTTATTTCAAACTACCTACTAGAAGTTTCACACAAGCATAAACAATGATATCGCCCACCACAGTACCCCAAAATAGGAAGTCAGTCTGCACCTCAGTTCCAATGAACGTAGGACGAATATACAGACTCGCAGATGTTGAGTAGGGGACCCACTCCTCATCCAATTTCACAAGCTGCCGAATACACTCTAAAAGCTCTTTCTTGTCAAACGCCTGAAGGAATGAAAAACACAATGAATAATACAACGTTTTTCCACTGCAGCAGTAAGAAATGATCCTCATGAGAGCTTTGACGGTTAAAAAAGTACTAAGAAGCAAATCCCTGGAGGTCCAGTGGTTAGGACTTGGTGCTTTCACTGCAGTGACCCAGGTTCAGCCCCTGGTCAGGGAACTAAGATCGTGCAAAGCCACATTGTATGGGCAAAAAAAAAAAAAAGTACCAAATAAGTAAGCAAATAAATAAATAAAAATTTATAACTAATAATAATAAAACCAAGCAACTTTTTCTGTGACTTTTCCCCCTCAAATTGTGGTGGAATGATAGGTTAGTCACATAAGGAAGATAAATAAGTGGTTCCCTACCTCTTACCAAACCCAAATACCAACTGTAGTTGATGATGTACTTAAATGTGAGAAAACATTAAGATTTCTATTAAAAAAAAATACAAAGCATCAGTGTCACCTTAAAGCAGAATTCTTAAGTAAAAGACATAAAGCATAAATCATTAAGGGAAAAAAATGGACAAAATTTGACTATTTAAAACTTAAGGCCATCCAAGCATGAAAATTATTTGATCTAAAAACAAAACTAATCAGTTGTAAAGCAAAATACAATGTGCTTTTTATAAAGTATGTAATTGAAGTGACTATAATCCAGTATTGATCCCATCAAATGGCATTAAGTTGCCAGAAAGATACTATGGCCTGGGATATAGGTGATTGGTAGATTTTATTAAAATAAGAGTTATGTGTGAATATCTTTAATTCATTTGATTAGGTTTCTAAATCTTCAGTCTAATAAAGTTGAAATGTCTTAGAATATTAGTTTTAATAGAGCTGAACAGTTATGTTCAAAATGTGTTAAAAAAGAAAGTATGCTTATATTCAGATAAAGGGCATTTATATTTTTCAGTTAAGCCTCAGACTTAAGTAAATGTTAAGGGCTTATCTTCCCTCATTATCATTAATATTAATGAACTCTTGGATTAAATTCTGTAATACATTTAATGTAATGCTTAATAATCAAAATCAGGACTTCAAATATTTGATGTTTTTTATTCCTTCCAATATAAAATTCCAGTATTTCATTCCTATGTGCAAAAACTGAATTGGTATAAAAAATTAATGACATATGAAGAATTCTTTGCACCTTTCCCAAGTGTATTTAAACAACATAAAACTTTTAAATAACAGCAGTGGTCCCAACATTTAAAAAAAACAAACAAACTTAAGACTGTATATTCTTCAAAAGATAAAACAAGGGACACACTGGGTGAAGTTTTTTGGTAGTATAACCAACAAAGGATAGTAACTGGAAAATGTTAAGATAACCTGAAAATCAGTAAGAGACAAATGAAACAATAAGAAAATGGGCGAAAGCAAAGAGTAATTTATTTCACGAAGTTGAAAAAGGGTTTTACGTACTAAATAGGTGATAGCTTGCAAAATAAGTAGTTTCGACTTACTTGGCAGGGCATACTTCTGAAAGAAACATACTTTCAGAGAGATGGGATGGGTTATTCAAGGTAGACATGAGTCAGAAACACACATGAATAGAGTTCATGACGTCAGGGTTTGGCTACTGAAGTACTAACTTGTAATAGCAATCACAGCGTAGCAGTGTTACAGAAATCAGGACTGCCAATCTCCCTGTGTCAAGTACAGGGTTTCTGTTACTCCTGTCTAGAGGTAAGATTTAGTGGCAAGAACTTGACTAGGGATTTAAAAACTTACATCCAAGTTCTTACCCTGTCCCTTTACTCTGTGTGAGCTTAGGCAAGTCATCTCACCTCTCTGGGCTTAAGCTTTTTACCGTCTGAGTCACCACGAATTTCTGGGCTTAAGCTTTTTAATCTGTAAAAAGGTGCCGCTAAAATTTACAAGGCATCCCTTCTTGACAGTGGCTCACTGCTACGACTAAAAATGCAAAGGATGTAAAACCATATAATGCAGTTTGTGGCAGAGTTGATGTCCAATAAATGTTACTTCCCTTTCCTTCTGTCCCCATTTTAAAAGGATTTCCCAGTGGTTTGTCTGTAATGGGTAAAGAGTAGAACTAGGACTAAATCAAAAGAAATTACCTGAATGTTTCTTCTGCTACTATACTATGGCCTCTGAAGAAAGTGGGTGAAGCATGGGTTCCAAAATTGTCCCACATACACATTAAATCCTCACAGACACTCACAAAGAAATAGATTGTGGAATTGCCAGATGGTTCCGTCCTTGCATTTTTACCTCACTGATTAAAAAACCGACCAGAAATAACTTCAGTGCTCATACGGTTTATAGTAAATACTGACCTAAATACTCAGTAATGTTTCATTTGGTGGAATTCAGTGACCCATTACAAGAGAAATTCCCAAATTTACATACCGGCAGAGTGGCCCTCATAGCAGATCGGTACATCCTATCCATGTTGAGGTTTGGCCGAAACAGACGAATTTTATTATCTACTCCCCGAAATGCCTTCAATCCTTCAAATAACTGAAGATAAAAGAAAAATATTTGTTAGAAGGTAAATGAATGAAAACAATCCCCATGTTCTGAAGACTGACTTTTCTATGGCTCTTTATCACCTTCACCATGTAAAGCTATTGATTGACATAGACCCTAAATCTAGAAAAGCCAGACAGACTAGTTTTAGTCACTAGGATAAAAAGGAAGTCCCTTTATCACCAAGATCTGGAGGGAATTCAGAGTTATTCCAACTACAGAGCTGGTTGGTTAAATAACACATCAGTAGAGGCTGGAAGAAAACATGTCTACACAACATGGACTGACTGCCTACAAAAAAACAGAAATGGAATCAAAGACCCCGCAGTACCCAGCCCCCAATCCATCCCAAAACACCCAAGGATCTTTTCATTTTATCTGGCTCCTATGAACTCTGAAGAGTGGATATCTAGATGTGACTGGAGGTGGGTCAGCCTCCCAAATCACAGAAATCAAGCAGCTCAAGACTCTTGTTAGGGCAATGCCACCTTCTTAGGGTGAGGCCACAAAAAAAATATGAAAAGACTTTTGAAGTCAGTGCATATTGGTAAACATATAGAAAAGAGGAAAAATCGAACATTTTAATAGGAATTTTTTTGTGTGATAAACTATTTGAGAATCTAAAAAGGATGAATGTATGTATATGTATAGCTGAATCACGATGTTGTAGACCAAAGTCTAACACCACATTGTAAATCAACTATACTACAATAAAAATTTTTTTTAAAAAGGGAAATTTCTACCACAGGTTCTCTAAGTGATTGATACAACAAACAGGTTAAAACAAAGTAAAGATATGGATGATTTGAACAACAGGAACAACAAACTAACCTAGTGGACACAAGGCCCTGCACATACCACCTGCAGAAGGCATGATCTTTGCACATGTTTAAGATAAGCTAGATATCAAAAGCAAAAATATAACCATAAGATATACACATTTTGGAAAAAAAGAAATCCATTACTTAATATTAAGTGTGAGTTAAAGAAGAAAAATAATGGAAATGAGAAAACATGCTAAGCTGAATGAGAATGAAAAATAGAGCCTTCAGATGCTTAGAGCCTCAAAGCTTACCAGAGAAAAGAAATACAAATTCTGGAGCACAATTAAAAAGCACAAAATGGGATGTTTTGTTGAAATGCAAATATGTGGCTAATTTATTAACTGTAATAAGACTAGAGCTTTGGTTAAAAGATATGGTTGTCAGATTAATTCAGCTGGTAACAACTGAAACAAAAAAGCATAAAAAGCAATGTCATATAAACACTTTTAAAAATGAAGCTGGTGAGGTTATATTGCTAAATATATAACAAAACAAACTTTCAGATAAGAAGCACTGCTGGAAATAAACAAGGTAAGTAACTTTATAAGGTTCAATTTATTTCAGTTTAAAAATTGTACACATTTGATATAGGTTCAAATTTACATAAAGGTTATATGATAATGTCATTGAATAATGCATATGCAAAATATACAAAGGATAATGGTCTAACTAAGCTGGATTTATCCCAAGAATAGACATTGGTTTAACATTAGAAAATATATGAAATTCATATATTACATTATATGATTATTATAATAATAGCTTATGTGAAAAAAAACTATATATCATCTCACTGATACAATAAATGCGTCTGATAAAACTGAACATTCATTTATGACTTAAAAATAAAATTTCCTCAATAACTAAGGAAAAATATAATCTTCCTTAAAAGATAAAGGCTTTCTTCAATAAATTGGCAACAAATATATTCAAAATGGCAATTTTGTAGAAAGTATCGTTGATTTACAATGCATTAGTTTTAGATATGCAGCAAAGTGATTCAGTTTTATATATACATATATATATATTCTTGTTCAGACTCTTTTCCATTATAGGTTATCACAAGATATTGAATATAGTTTCCTGTCCTATATAGTAGGTCCTTGTTGTTTATCTATTAAAGTGATAAAATTTAAAGCTTTTCTTTCAGATTGAGGCCATCACACATTGCCTGTTGTAACTACAAATACTTTAAATCAATACTGTATTACCAATAAAATAAAGCAAGGGTCATGAAATAACTCTAGGGGATCTCTCTGACCCAGGTATCAAACCCACGTGTCTTATGTCTCCTGCATTGGCAGGAGGGTTCTTTACCACTAGCACCACCTGAGAAACCCTGAAATAGAAGTATAAAGTTAGGAGAAGAAAAAAAACTGTCATAGATCTTGAGACACAGAAAAGATTAAATGTAGAAAATCCAGAAAAACTGACATAATCTTTTGAAATTACCTGTTTAGGCAAGGTAACCAGATAAGAAACTATATTCCCATGTAACAGCAGCAGTTAAAAAATAAAAACACTACTTAAGGTAGAATTAAAACCAATTCCTAGGTAGGGAAAATGTAACATAAGTGAATGACATAAGGAAAATATAAAACTTACCAAGTCATTAAAGACCTAACTAAAGCAGAAAGCAATCTCATAGTCATAGACTGAAAGATTCAGTATTATAAAGACTGCACTAATGTACAGTGCAGGTAAGGCTGCTCACTGTTATGCGGCAACCTAAATGGGAGGAGAGTTCAAGGGAGAACCGATATATAGAGAGAGAGGGCTGAGTCTTCAGTTGCCCACTTGAAACTATCTCAATGTTGGTAATCGACCATAATCAAAATCAAAAGTTTAAAAAAATAAAATGCTTTAGGATTAAAATACACATACATATAAAGATGCCGATTCTCCCACAACTGACTCATAAAATGTAATGCAATCCAAATGAAAATCATGTCAGGACATTTATTTTTCTTGCAACAAACTGAATCACAAAAATTTGACTGACATGATAAACCGAATCTAAGTTATAAGAAAAAGCAAAAGAACAAGAAATATGCAAGGCACTCTTGAAGAGTGAAACAGAAGGACTTGTCCTAGTAGACATTAAGACTCCTTATTTAAAAAAAAAAAAAAGACTCCTTATAGTGATTTGGAGATAAAGACAGTGTGGCTTTTGCCCAGATAGACAAGCAAAACAATGAAACAAAAGAGATCCAGATAGACAAGACAATGGAAGACAAATGGAGATCTAGAAGCAGAACTTCACGTACAGGCTAAGATGTGCTCTGATGTATTGGAAGGAAAAAAGTCTTCTTTAATGGTGCTGGGACAATTGGGTATCCATAGGGAAACAAAACAAACAAAAAGTGAAACAGGTCACCAGTCCAGGTTGGATGCATGAGACAAGTGCTCGGGGCTGGTGCACTGGGATGACCCAGAGGGATAGGATGGGGAGGGAGGCGGGAGGGGGGATCAGGATGGGGAACACATGTAAATCCATGGCTGATTCATGACAATGTATGGCAAAAACCACTACAATATTGTAAAGTAATTAGCCTTCAACTAATAAAAATGAACAAAATAAAAAATTTTTTTAAAAAAAGAAAAATTGGACCCCTCCTTCATACAAAAATCAACTTCTGAAATTAAAGACCTAACTATCACAGATAAAATAAATAATACAGGAAGATGTCTTAATCTAGGAGTAGAAAAAGACTCTTTAAACAAGACACAAAACCAAACCTAAAGCAAAGATTGATAAATTCAACTTTTAAAAATTGAAATGTGGAGTTCCCTGGTGGCCTAGTGGTTAGAATTCTGGGGTTTCACTGCCTTGGCCTGGGTTCAATTCCTGATTGGGAAACTAATAATCCACAAATTGCATGGCATAGCCCGCACCTCTCCAAAAAGTGAAATTTATTTCTTGTCATCAAAAATTTATGGGGAGAATAATGTAAAGTAATTAGCCTCCAACTAATAAAAAAAAAAATTAAAAAAAAAATTTATGGGGAGAATAAAAAGTCAGAGTGTGGAAGAAGATATTTAAAACACATATAAATGACATAGGACCCATACTCAAAATATATAAAGTACTTCTACAAATCAAAAAGACAACACAATAGAGTGAGCAAAAGATGGAAATAAGCAGGCACTTCAAATAAAATGAAATCCAATTGACAAACATTTGAAAATGTGATAAACCTCTTCAGAAGTGGCAATTAATATCACAATAACATGCAATTTTATTAATAAGCTAAAAATTTAAAGTCAGGCTATAAGAACTGGCAAAGTTGATGAGTTGTGATTGAACGTATTTGCTAATTCATGGCTAGTGGGTATAAAAAAATGGTAAAATCACTATGGAAAAGTTTCTCTTTTCTCATAAAATTTAAGATATATTCAATACCAGCAGCACATTCCTAGATATACCCTCAAGTAGTATTTCTCAAAGTTTTTTGGTATCAGGTGCCTTCACACCCTTAAAAATTATAAAGATCTCAAAGAGCTTTTATTTTAAAAGTATTCTATCAATATTTATCATAGCCATAGTGAGAAACTGTATTCATTAACAATAATAGACTATGACATTAAAATATTTTCATTCACATTATCTATATTTTCCAAGAGGATTAATATTAAATGTGGTCCTGTTTTACATTATTGCCAATCTTTAACATTTGGTTTAACAAAAGACAACTGGATTCTCCTATCTGCTTCTGCATTCAGTCTCTTGCAATAAAAATTTTGGTTGAAGTACACAAAGAAAATCCAGTCTCATACTGATATACAGTTGAGGAAGAAAGTACTTTTGATAACTTTTTCAGATAATCGTGGCTATTAATCTCCGATACTCCTCTAAAACTTGACAACTGCTGGTCCCTTACAGCTTAGCTGCACCGCAGAATCTGAAAGCCCATCAATGAGGTTTTTATATTCTGTTAATTTCTTAAAAGCCAATGGTCTCAGTCAGGGTTCCACTGAGAAGAAACAGAACCAGGAGAAATATATACAACATTTACAGATCTATTGGAAGAAAGTGCCCAAAGCATCTGTGGAGACTGGCTAAGCAAAGTCCAAAATCTGCAGGATAAGCACCGAAAAACAGAAGGTCACAAGCAGGCTGGACCAGGAGATGTGCGCTGCAGCCCATCCCCAACTGACTCAGGAAGGGAGAGGCAGAGCAAGACAGTGAGTGCATGTGAGCAGCCAGACCTACATAGATGTCCTGAGGTCAGGCTCACCCACAGTAATCTCCCTCTGGATAACTTCAAATCAACCAATCAGGGACTTTAACCACATCTGCAAAATTCCTTCAAACTCCACCCAGATTAGTGTGGATTGAACGACTAGAAGAAGGCACACACAAAATGATCACTGCCTCCCAAAGTCCTCCAAGGCTCACAAGAGAATGTCCTTGCAGTTCATCCCCAAAGGGAAATGAAAAATGGAATTTTAGGGACCTCAGTTTACATAACCAAACTGACACATCAAAAGTCCTATCTTGCACTTGAATTTTTTTTTTTCCTTTTAAAATGTACTTCAGGGATTTTTGGTTTTTATTTGTTTATTTTTTAATTTTATGGCTGCAGCAAGCAGGATTCAGTTCACTGACCAGGGATCGAACCTGCGCCCACTGCAGTGGAAGCATGGAGTCTTAACCACTGGGCTACCAGGGAAATCCTGCACTTTGAATGAATTTTACTCATACATAAATTTGTAATATCATGGAACACTCATTTGGAAAAATACTGGTTGCCTGAGTTACACAGATCTTTCAAAAGGTAACTCCTTTTAAAACCACCAATATCATTAAAACATTGGTAACCACCAATATAATACAAAATAAGACCACTTTAACAGGAGGAAAGGGTGGTGGATACAAATTTTCCAAAAATTCCAATTTTCACTTGAGAGCTAGAATTTTATCACTGCCAATAAATATAGTCCATTGTTTTACTTGAAGTGACAGGCTTATTTCATTCATTTTCAAAAAAACACACAGAAGTTTGAACAACTTTGTTCTTTCCAGGAACAATGGCGCCAGGTAGAGAAAGCAGCCAGTTGAGTTCACAACACAAAAACAATCATGTGGTTGGCTTTTCCTTGAGGCAACCATAGCATTTCAGAACAACAGAGTGCTTCATGTGAAATGGATGTTTTCTCACACGGAATAAAATGTTTATGTAGAGTCAAGATTTAATAAACTCATCATTATTATGCTTCATTGAGAACATTAAGTAAAGCTGACATTCTTTTTATACTGCAATGCACGGCAATAAACAATATAATGACTAACAGAGGTTGGGTGGCAAAGCATTATCTGGTACAAATGTCAACACAATGAGGAAGAAAAATAATACCTTGGTATTACTGTGAAGAGTTTTACCTTAGGCAATCTCTTCAAAGGGTAGCCTAGGGGGTCTATGGACCCCACTTGGAGAACTGCTGACTTAAAGAAACATGTAAACAAATTTTCAAGAATGTTCAAAGAAGGAAACTAAACAAGTGCCAAGTCAACAACAGACTGAATATATTCACATAATATAACACTACTGCTACAAGCAACACATGATGCGGTACCTACCGCCCTGAGACTCAGATAACACAGGTCTCTGCCCTGAGTTTCACACTTTTGAAGGCCTCTCACCTCTATCTTCCCCCAGTTGTGACCTCCTTGGAGCAAGAAGTTGACTGGACCCTTTTCCAGACAGACTCCAAATATTCAGTTCTAGGGATTCCCTGAATTCCCTGCCCAAATGGCCCTGATTCTATTTTCAGGGTCTGAATGGGCCTCCATAGGTTCATCCTCTTAAAAACAGACAGGATCACTAGGGTGCTTCCATCTAAGTCCAAGGGATGGCCAAGGGTCATCTGTTTGCAGGTGGAGTGGGCATCTATGTGCATGTGCAAAAGGCCCCATGTGGTACAGGATATCCAGGATTGAAATAGACAGACAGGGTGGACTATGGGATGTCTCTGTTTTTACTTTTGTCCCAGACCCCACAGACATTAGGATTGGTCCTGGATGGATAGATCTCACATAATATTGAGCTCAAATAATAGATATGTGTGCATGTGCACACACACGCAATATATATGTTTATATAATTCCACTTACACAAAGTTCAAAAAGAGGCAAAACTGTAGCGTTAGAGGTACACATAATCCAAGTGAAAAGCAAAGAAAAATCATCATAAAAGTAAGAATAACACATGCCAGAAAATGAAGGGTTTATGACATAGAAGGAGCACAAAGAAGGCTTCTGGGATATTCAAGCTGTCCATTTCCTCGCCTGGATGGTAGCTATTTGGGCACTCCTTTATAAGAATTCATTAAATAGTATGCTGTCCACTTTTTCAAATTATGTCTTATGTCACTAAATATTTATCTCAACCCGAAAACGAAGTACATGTTGTAAAATTTCATTTTCTTTCATCCAGATTCCCTACTCACACTTCCATTTCTCTCCTTTACTATGTGAAAGTGTCACTATTTACGGTCGGGAAGATCCACTGGAGAAGAGATAGGCTACCCACTCCAGTATTCTTGAGCTTCCCTTGTGGGTCAACTGATAAAGAATCCGCCTGCAATGCGGGAAACCTGGGTTCGATCCATGGGTTGGGAAGATCCCTGGGAGAAGGGGAAGGGTACTCACTCTAGTATTCTGGCCTAGAGAATTCACTGTATGGTCCATGGGGTTGCAAAGAGTCAGAAATGACTGAGCAACTTTCATTTTCACTTTTTTTAATCAAAATATATGTTTGAATCAAGAAAACCACATGTAGTTTTAGCTCTAAAAACAAAAAAAAAAAAATGGGGCTGATAAGTGGAGGAGAAAGATGTCCAAGGAGACGATATGCATGTTGATTTGTGGGTCAAAATAATACGACTCTAGACAGGATCTGAACCCAGGATGTTTAACTCCAGAATCTGAATGATAAACTACATTTTTCTCACTTAAAACAATTAGAAGAGCTGACCCATATAAGGTTCCCAGTAGAGGGTATATTGCAGGATTTCAATAAACAAATATAGTTATTTTATCAATATCAATATGAATATTTACTGTTTCCATCTTTCAGCCCCTTAAATAATAGACCGTTGCTTGATTCTTGAATCCCAATATTCTAGGAAAGATACCCAAAACATTAAAAATGAGTGCAGCAGTCTGCAATGGTCTCTGTACATGGATTTCCCAGACAAGAATACTGGAGTGGGTTGCCATTTCCTTCTCCAGGGGATCTTACCTACTCAGGGATCAAACCTGGGTCTCCTATATTGCAGGCAGATTCTTTACCACTGAGCCACCAGGGAAGCCACACAGGGAACAGGAAGTATATTGTATATCTGGCTAAGTGTGAATCCTAAGAAGGACCACAGAAAGCATCTTCTGTTTAATATTTAATGCTTATAATTATTCCATTCATGCTTGAAGGCTGATATTTAATTAAATGTCCCTTAACATGCATAACAAGTTATTGCTGTCATAAAACCATGCAGTTAGCATTAAAATATAATACTGTACCTAATGATCCATTCTCAATCATTAGAAGATCTAAGAGCAGTGACTTAGTGAGCTATTAACAGTACAGGCTTTTTGATGGCTTATTTTCTTGTCAACTGTCCTTCCCATTTGCTCCAAATAATTTTCTGATAATATTATAAGTCAATGTTAGAAGTTTCATGTGCAAAACATTATATTTCTATTCTCTACACCCTAACCAATTGACATTTTAAAAATTCAAGATTATCTGAAAAATTAGTTAAGACTCACCTTCATATTTCCCAGACAAGAATACTGGAGTGGGTTGCCATTTCCTTCTCCAGGGGATCTCACCTACTCAGGGATCGAACCTGGGTCTCCTATATTGCAGGCAGATTCTTTACCACTGAGCCACCAGGGAAGCCACACAGGGAACAGGAAGTATATTGTATATCTGGCTAAGTGTGAATCCTAAGAAGGACCACAGAAAGCATCTTCTGTTTAATATTTAATGCTTATAATTATTCCATTCATGCTTGAAGGCTGATATTTAATTAAATGTCCCTTAACATGCATAACAAGTTATTGCTGTCATAAAACCATGCAGTTAGCATTAAAATATAATACTGTACCTAATGATCCATTCTCAATCATTAGAAGATCTAAGAGCAGTGACTTAGTGAGCTATTAACAGTACAGGCTTTTTGATGGCTTATTTTCTTGTCAACTGTCCTTCCCATTTGCTCCAAATAATTTTCTGATAATATTATAAGTCAATGTTAGAAGTTTCATGTGCAAAACATTATATTTCTATTCTCTACACCCTAACCAATTGACATTTTAAAAATTCAAGATTATCTGAAAAATTAGTTAAGACTCACCTTCAGTCCAACTGTTTATAGACATTTATGATTGCCTCTAGTTAATATGGTAAAGCCCACACTGCCCTAGAGCTCTTAGAGCAGGGGAAGCTACTTAGTAACCACAGAGAAGACCAATATGTCCCCATCATTAATTTCCAAGCACTTACTTCCACAGCATAGTGGAAAGCTGATGAACCCGGATGCAGTGAGAGGTTTTGAAGAGGTTTGATGCGTGGTTTCTCCCATCCAAGCTCCAAGGACCACTCCACTGTTAGCATATGATCCGTAAAAACCGTTCCAAAAACCAGAGTACTGGGGTCTGGTTTTTCCTTTAAAACGGTGGCTCGTGTGATTATTAGATCTTCAGCCTGGGGAAAAAAGTCAGCACCATTAAAGAAAAGTAACTGAACATCCACTAGAAAGAGGAAGCAGAGAGTAAAAAGAATTTATTTAAGTCACTGGCCATTAAAAAGTGAAATCATTTGACGTTTAAGTGTTGGCAACTAACTCAGAAACTTAACAACACTGGTGAGCCAAGCAAAACCATGCCTCCATTCAGAATCTGTTGTTTCAAATCTCTACAAAGTAGGGAATTCCCTGGCAGTCCAGAGGTTAGGTTGGGAGCTAAGATCCCAGAAGCTGCAAGGTGCAACCAAAAAACAAAAAAAAGACAATTCTTTGCAATGTATACTACCAAACAAATATCAGAACTAAAAATTTTCAGCAACGTTTAGAAACTGGTATGAAATAGTAGATGGAGTGAAATCATCCTAAAAGAAGAACATACTCTTCTTCACTTCCATCATCAGACCTGTGTAGAACATTTTGGAAAGAAGACAGGCGGGTCTCAGAATCAAAACAGCAGCACTCACAATGACTTACTAAACTAAAAAGAATGTCACTAAGAATGGAACCTCTTGGGATGGTTATACTCCAGCTCCCCCAAAGAATTCTTGGCAGCAGCTTCCAAAACCCTCTGGGTACACGGTAGGAGACAGGCAGCAGAGTGAAGCAAATGTTTTCCTCGTTGAAAACAGAAATGGAGATTGAACACTAAGATATAAATCCTCTATTCTGTGTTGAGGAGACAGTGAACAAAGGACCCCTTATGCAAAGAAAGATAAATAAGAGTAATAGGAAACAACTTCACACAGCCCCGTCGCACCAGCTCTCCACAGCCGGCTTGCCCATTATAAATGACCACCACACAAGCATCCAGAACCCAGACAATAGCATCACTAACTTTACCATAACTGTGGAACAGCTGACACAAACCACAGGGGAAGGAGCACTCAGACGACTTAAGCACAAAATGAACCAAGGACAAGTTCAGGCTGTGATCAGGCTGTTAGGAAGGTCAGACTTCATTTCTTTCAATACACAAAGTCGTCATTTCCCCCCCCAAAGCAAATACAGAACTTCAGAACTTCACTTTGGATCATCACCTCTTCTCATTATTCTTTGAATGACCTAGCTACATCTGGTTAATTCACTGCTTTGCAGCCACCTTTGTAGTTTGATATATTATGAATAATAAAAAATCAGTTAAGTTTAGAGTAACATTTAGGTCCAAAATGTTATTTATTGTAAAACAATTAGAAAGCTTCCATTACAAAGGAGCATAAAGCATAAAGGACAGCATGTGTACGTGCTAAATCGCTTCAGTGAGTCGACTCTTTGTAACCCAGGCAGTCTCATTCACTTCCATAGCTTCAGTTATCACCTGTGGTGGTGGTGGTTTGGTCGCTAAGTCGTGTCTGACTCTTGAGACTCCATGGACTGTAGCCTGCCGGTCTCCTCTGTCTGTGGGATTCTCCAGGCAAGAATACTAGAGTGGGTTGCCATGCCCTCCCTCCAGGGGATCTTTCTGGCTCAGGGATCGAACCCGTGTCTTCTTGACCACTCCAACATATGTATACCTATGGCTAATTCGTGTTGATGTATGGCAGAAATCAAACCAATATGTAAACCAATCATCCTTCAATTAAAAAGAAATTTAGAAAAAAAAAGAAGTTTGCCAGTCCATTGAGACTGTTTAGATAAGAACTCTAGCTAGAGTACTTGCAGTTAAATTTCAGCCCCAGCATAGTGCCTGGCACACACAACAGTAAAGGTTTTCTTAGATGCTGAAAATAACATTTGGTTGATTTCAGCTGCACTCCATAATGAATGACAGACTCATTCCCAGAAGATGGCCAGGATTTAAAGTGAATGATAACTTCAGAACTTCACTTTGGATCATCACCTCTTCTCATTATTCTTTGAATGACCTAGCTACATCTGGTTAATTCACTGCTTTGCAGCCACCTTTGTAGTTTGATATATTATGAATAATAAAAAATCAGTTAAGTTTAGAGTAATATTTAGTTCCAAAATGTTATTTATTGTAAAACAATTAGAAAGCTTCCATTACAAAGAAGCATAAAGCATAAAGGACAGCATGTGTACGTGCTAAATCGCTTCAGTGAGTCGACTCTTTGTAACCCTCCGGACTGTAGCCTGCCAGGCAGTCTCATTCACTGCCATAGCTTCAGTTATCACCTGTGGTGGTGGTGGTTTGGTCGCTAAGTCGTGTCTGACTCTTGAGACTCCATGGACTGTGGCCTGCCGGTCTCCTCTGTCCGTGGGATTCTCCAGGCAAGAATACTAGAGTGGGTTGCCATGCCCTCCCTCCAGGGGATCTTTCTGGCTCAGGGATCGAACCCGTGTCTTCTTTACCACTCCAACATATGTATACCTATGGCTAATTCAGGTTGATGTATGGCAGAAATCAAACCAATATATAAACCAATCATCCTTCAATTAAAAAGAAATTTAGAAAAAAAAAAGAAGTTTGCCAGTCCATTGAGACTGTTTAGATAAGAACTCTAGCTAGAGTACTTGCAGTTAAGTGTTCAGCCCCAGCATAGTGCCTGGCACACACAACAGTAAAGGTTTTCTTAAATGCTGAAAATAACATTTGGTTGATTTCAGCTGCACTCCATAATGAATGACAGACTCATTCCCAGAAGATGGCCAGGATTTAAAGTGAATGAAATCGTAACATACACTTTTTATTACATGAATGGTTTCACAGTATTCTTGTACAATGAAGCACTTGTGCTTTTGCTTTAGTTAGCTTTTTTTTTTTTTTTTAGCAGCTAGGGGGATCCTGGGCTAAGAAATATCTGGAACTGTAGCAATACAAGAAGACAAACTCAATGCAAATTTTCACTTATTAACACCATTAACAAAAGTTTCTTAATAACAGGGGAGAGTAGTAAGATACACAACAAAAACAGAAAGATGAAAGTAGATGAAAATGGGGTGGAGATACTGTGAGTAGAAGGGGTGAGTTTTTAATCCGTGATTTCAGGATACATCTTAAACACTGCAAAGGCAACAGACATCGGCTTTTTCTTTTTTTCGAAGACAAAACCAATGATTCGCATGGTTCTTCAAAAGTAAAATGACTAAGGAAAAATTCTAAATTGTGTGGTTTTAATAAAGCAATTTAATTTTTTTAAAAAGTAAAATGAAGTTCGACTTCCTATCTATTTCTAATATTAGGTAGTCAATTCTATCATTAGTTAATAATCAACAAGAAGCCAATCACACAGGGTCTTTCTACCTTTTGGGATTTCTAGGTTTTCTAGTAACCCTACCTGCCATGAAACCTACAGCCAATGGAATATATACAACTTTCTTCCAACAAACTACAATGCAGGAGACCAAGTTTGATTCCTGGTCAGAATGATCCCCTGGAGAAGGGAATGGCTACCCACTCCAGTATTCTTGCCTGGAGAATTCCATGAATAGAGGAGCTTGGCGCGCTATAGTCCATCAGAAAAGAGTTGGACAAGACTGGGCAACTAACACTCCCATTAGTATTTCAACAACAATCTGCATAGAAACTTTTAAAAACAAGACTATGGCTTTGCCGCATATCAAACTGTAGGGTGATTTCTTTTCCTTCCCTTACTCTTGTTTCTTCCTTATCTGCTTTATTAATCTTAGTATTTTGCCTTTTTATTCACTCAGTGGGCACTGCACTAAGCAAGCACAGGAGATACCAAGAGGCAAGGGTTCAGTCTTCCTTCTCTGCCACACTCGCTGCCAGTCAAGGACAAGTGGTAGCCTCTGTGAGCAAGTGTTACTCATTCAGTTACCAAGGTTGTTACCCCAAATCATCCCCCTGCCCCTCTGTTAAACAGAAACCAACAGAAACTTATCTACATTTCAGGAGGAAGCTACAAAGAGGAAAAAAGCAGAACTGGTTAAAACTAACTAGGACCAAGATGGCAGAAGATTTGACTTCCACTAGACCCTGGGCCTCACTGTACACACATTGTAATACATTAGCTAAATGACATGTAGCGCCGTGACAGCTGACAATTGCCATGACAACAGCCAGAAGAGCCACATACGGGAACTGGAAAGCAGAGCTGCATCAGTTCTGGGTCCAAACCACACTCCTATTCTCAGAAAATGCATGGATGTTCTAATTCCCACCCTTTCCAGTTTCCTCCCTTATACTTCAATCCTCTTATACATTTGGTGTCTTTGCCTGATTGGGGTTGAAAAGTTGATCTGTGAGGGTTCCCACGTCACCACTGAATAAAGCTTGTGCTGCTCCAGGCTCAGCTTCAGTTTTGTTACTGGCTGCACAAATTTGACCAGAAAAAGAACCTCCCTGGCAGACACAGGGGTCTTGGCCCAGAGTAGAACCCTAACATAGGTCCATTCAACCAATTCAGTACCAAGTTAACCTAACAATTTTTGAGCTACTATGTACCTGTATTGAGCCAGGCACAAAGAAACTCAGGGAATGAAATAAGTCCTCTTCTCTTAGTGAGGGGAAAAACAGTATAAAAAACAAGTGATTTGGGCCAGGGGGATGTGCCAGTCTCGATAGGAGGGAGTTTGGGGGAGAACAGATACATGTATATGTATGGCTGAGTCCTGCTATTCACCTGAAACTATCACAGTACTGTTAAATGGCTATAATCAAACACAAAATGTTTTTGGTATTAAAAAAATTAAACTAAACTAAAAAAAAAGATTTTTAACATTAAAAAAAAAAGAAGGCAGGCTTATTATGCTAATAGATAACATACCTGGAAAATTCAGAGCTGGCATAATTACCTTGTGATGTTTTTCTACTGTTTTTGTAAAATCCCTTCCCAAATGGCACTTTTTCCCCTCATTATAAATGCAGTATGTGTTACTTGTCAAATATTTGAAAAAGACTAAAGAATTATAAAGAAAAAAAAAATAAAATCAACCACAATCGCAAAAGCAAACAAAAAAGAGTAAGGGAATAAATAGATGTCAAGAAGTGATCAGTACTATGAAAAAAAGGAAAGTTTAAAGGGATAGAGTGGGAAAG